CACTCCTTTGCTTTCCACAATTACAGTGCAATTCTAAGCACAGTTAACACCCTTCTAAACCACCTGAGGCAAAGAGTGTAACTCTGTTTAAGATCCCAACGCTGCTAATATCTCATCCAGTCATGTTGTTTGTCCCCGCATACTCCAAAAACTTGTCTCTTCCTTTCTGGTTCCTCAGAAAAATTATGTGATAGATTTTTAAAGACCACAGCAATGTTCTCTCTATTTTCTTTCCCCCTACTGAGCGAAGCAGTTCACATCCTGAGCAGAATATAACTACTGTAATCTTAAAATGGGCAATGGGCAGTGCAAGACACTGCATGGCTCCAGATTGCTTCTGAGCAGGGCTTCCTGTGTTAATGAACGGCCGCTCACTCACATAGCTTAGATGAAATGTTAGACCTCACACATTTTTCCTAGCTGGGCCTGAAGTTTCTTTCCAGAATACCCACTTGGTGTCCCCTCTCCTTCAAAACCCATCCTTTTTATTCAGTCCTTTCTTAGCTCCCAGATCTTCATCCCCAATCACAAGGAAATTGCATGTAATTGTGAGGAATCAAATGAACCCCTGGTTAGCCTCACTTCTCAAAATCCTGTTTCTTCCCACCAACGAATTTAGCATGATAAACACCTTGGGGCAGAGACCTGTTGATGTGGCTCATGTCATAAAGGACAGGAGTCTTCCTTTCACACCCTTAATTGGAGAAGCAGGTTGGTGTGGTTGCCCAAAGTGCCTTCTTTTGTTGGTATCCTAGACTCACTAGCATGGTTACGTGGATCCACCACAACAGGTTCTAAACGAGGCAGCTCTTGAAAACAACTCAGAAGCTTCAGCTGCTGCCAAATTTGGCTGGTGCTGGGCAACATATGCATATATAGCTTATTTTAAAACACCTTCACTGGCTTCCAGTTTAGGTTCAGTTCAAGGTGCTTTTCTTGGTAGTTTTAAAGCCCCTCTCAACCAGGGATCCATCTCCCCAAAAGGACTCACTCTACCCATAGAAACTGTTATGTATTGTGTTATATGGATAGCCTGAATTGTAGAATGAGCCTGAGCTTCAGTCACAAGCAGTGTTCCCTCTAAGCTGAGTTAGTGTGAGCTAGCTCACAGTTTTTCAGCCTCCAGCTCACAGATTTTTGTCTTCGCTCAGGAAGGATGACTCCAGGGCCAACTAACTTATGCAGTAGCCAAATTGCTCGCTCACAAATTTCATGCCAGTAGCTCACAGAGTAGACTTTTTGCTCACAAGACTCCACAGCTTAGAGGGAACATTGGTCACAAGCTCCATAGACTCTCAGTATCCTGAAATCAACAGCCGTATTGGCTGCCATTGTGCAATGGACCAGTCAGGAAAGACTATGATTTTGGGCAGGAACAAACCCTATTGGTCCTAAGCACTCACTTATGATTGAACCTTATTGTTCCAGGAGTGTGGTTTAGCCAGTTCCAAAATGTCTATAAGTTGGGGTTGTTCTGTGTGTTCTGTGTTGCTGTGTTATGTTCTAATAAGCTGAAATAACTGATTAAAGAAAGAGCTGCCTGATCTTGAGCTACAACAGAAACCCATATACAACTTACGAACCCACCCCAAAAGGTCCTGCTGACAATGCCCTCCATCCAGGAGATCTGCACAAGGATCACGCGAGCCTTCTGAGTGACAGTTCCCGTTCTTTGAGATGGGCTGCCTGACTGGGAATGCAAGGATTCTTCATTGCTAGCATTCCACAAGTTTAAAAAGATTGTTCTGTTTCACAGGGCCTTTGAATAAGTACCGGTATTTAACTGTTGTTGTTGGGTGTCAGCAGTATGCCTTTCATGCTGAATTGTTCAGTTTGATTCATAGGTGCTGACTGACTTGTTTTACTATTACATCACTTTGATTGATCGTATGCTGCCTCAGACTTCGGAAAGGTAAAAGGTACATTGTAAATGCCCTGACATGGATAGCCCAGTCTAGCCCTGCTCAGTATTTGGATGGGAGACCACCAAGGAATGCCAGGGTCATGATGCAGGGACGTGCAATGGCAAACCACTGCTGAAGGTCTCTAGCCTTGAAAACCCTAGGTCAACCAGTGAGCACTGTTAACCGTGTGGGGATTTGAATCCATGCATTCCAAACTGAAATCCAAGACTCTAACCACTTCATCATGCTAACTTCCTCTGTCCTGGAACTCACTGGGGGATCTTAGGACCCGTCACTCCCTCTCAAAGGCTTGTTGTAAAACTAAAATGCAGGAACAAAGAACTATGTATGCTGCCCCGAGGAAGGGTGGGATAAACATGTAATACACAGACAAATGAAGGATTGAACAGCACATTTCTAAGAGTCACAGTGGCAATTAAAAATGGCTGGTTCCCAGCTGTAAGCCACATTAAATCATATTCAAGTTCCAAATTTTACATTAAAGATAAATGAAAGGTGTTCTTAGCATCTCTTGTGAAAGCACCCTTAGGGTTGGTGCTATGCTAGCACTTGGGCAGGAGCTGGGACCAGACTCCAGTGGTATATGCCATATGGCAGAGCACCAAGCCTCATTTGATATGCTCCAGGGATAACCACAGAGCTGGGCATGTGGTTTGCCTAACCTGGGATTAACACATCATTCAGCTCACCTTATTCCTTCTATGACACAGTTGAAAGAAACCTGAATTGACACAGAAGGCTTTTTTCCTGCTAAAGTCTGTTTTGCTTTACTACTTCTTACAGGGTTTTTTTTCTTCCTTTTTAAAAATAAAGCAAAAGAGTGAGAGAACCACAAAATAGTTTTGGGCAGCGGTGCCATTTCTCATGTCCAAACCGCACCTCAATGGCAGCCTGCTTCTGTCTGGTTCCAGATTAATTCAAAGCCCTAGTCTGAAAAAGAGAATACATTCTAAAGAAAAAGCGGAAAGCAGAGTAAGAAAAAACTATACTTTTCTTTTTAAGAAACAATTTTTGGATGATCAAATATTCAATAAGGGAACAATTGTACAATAATAACAGTGACCAATTTCACAGTGTTGTAGTAAGCACTGGTGAGAAAATGTATGGGATGCATTTATAACATACAGAAAAATGCCAAATGCATGTACTGTTACGGGCATTTTAAAATGTATTATGTCAATTGTTATAGCACTTGAGCAGCTTAAGAAAACTTATCATAACCACTAAACTACAATAATCCTTTCAATCACTGACCAAGTAATGAAAGAAATATTGGATAGTTAGTACCACTAGTGAGGAACTATCTTCCCCATCACAAAAGCCGGAAACTTACCAGGATATTGACCATAATTTTTTTTTTGGGGGGGAATGCAGCTAAGCAGGAGTAGCTCACCAACCACCAGAACTTCTTTGCTTCCTAGCGAGCCTTAACACATTTTTATACACACCTTCCCTTCACACACATTTTTGCATATTTTCATTGTATTATCCAATGTAAACACTATCAGGCAATGGGACTCAAACCAGAGGTGCATTAATAAGCCCTCTTTCGGTTTTCTTTTAGTTTTTTACATGGTTGTTCTGGCCATCTTGTTCCACCCATCTTACATTGCTGGTGTTACCATTCTGTTTGTTTCTTTTGTGGCATTTTAACGCTCAGATGCCATATGTGCAACTGATGCAAAACATATTTACAATTATTTGGCAGGAAATTTCCAGTTTCCAAGTTATGTGAAGGGCCCGATTCAGATAGGGACTGTGGTGCACAGACACAGGGGACTTCTGCCTTCCCCTGACATACACTTTCTGACCTGGAATGGCTTGGAGTCATGTACTGATGGGCTACATGTGCACTCCCCACCAATGGGCCAGGTAGTCCCTTCCATGGCTGTTCTGGATTGGGGAAATGATGTGGCCAGAGGCAGAAATAATTTCTTCCTGCACACTGTTGTCCCAAGTTCAAACAAGGCCTTCATGTACTTGGAAACTGAGTTCCCAGCAGGAACTCATAACTGATGTGTGACTGACTGACCGAAATTCAAGCCAGGGAACCCAGACACAACACATGGAAAACCATAACATAACAAAACCTAAAACTGGGCTTAGCACTAAGGGATCAGAATGCACTAGTATGGCTGTTTCTTTCTCATGAACTGTTTTCCAAATTCCTAATAACAAATCAGTTTTCAGTTTTTTTTCTGACTCAAGACAGGACACATTTGACTTTATACCTGAAAGGCTTCCTTTAAGAGCCGTGAGGGTTAACAATGATCCTATCTCAGAAGAGCCAACTGCCTATATTTTTGCATGAGACACTGACCTGGGCTCTCCTCCTGCCTGAACTCAGAGCAGCGACTCTTGCAGAGATACAATATGCAGTCTCCTCAGGGAAGGGTAATTCTTCTGCAGCTTTGGACCAATCACACTAGATGCAGCCACACTTGACACAAGGGGTCTGCAAAGCTCTCCACATTCTCAACAGAGGTTAACAGGGGACAAGCAAGGCTAAAGCAAAGAATCATGCAGGGACACAGAGGGCAGGTGGTAATTTGTAGGTGGTACTCTGGGTTTCCCAGGAACCTTTAATTATTTAGTCTCTTTATTTCTCATGGCACATAGTTTGGAATTGCTGAGCTAACAGCAATTGTCTTCTCTTCATGCCCTGGCTTGGCAGACAGAAGTGGGAGACGTGTGGGAACAAGCTGCAAAGAACAGATGTGGGGAAAGATGTGCAAATATTGAGCAGGACAGGAAATTTAGGATATTAGCAGGAGACCTTGGAGATTAAAAAAAAAAAAGCCCTTCTACAAAGCCCATGGAAATCAGATGGGTTATTTCAGGCAAAGGCCATCAGGATCTACATTGGGGGATAAGGATATTTATATTCAGGTGAAGCTGTTCAGGAGATAAGCAGCTCCCTGGAAAAACAGCCGGTGACGCCTTTGACTTCTACAAAGGCATGAAGAGAAAGATACAGAAATCAAGCAGCCAAAAAAGCTTATCTCTGCCAGCAGCCTCTTGGGCATGAATAAAAAGAACCAAGGGTAAAGGCAGAGAGCAAATGGAGGCCACAAGTACTGCATTTCAATCCCTGGAACAAGCTAGAAGGGTTTCCTGATCACACCATGGAACCAGGTAAGTTGGCACAACACCCGATAGAAGCTACGGCTCCTGCACTCGCTTTGCTTACCCAGGAACGCTTTCCACTCTTCCCTTTTCACCCTGTCTGTCTGGACTACCGGCCAAGAGTACTGAGTTTCAGGAAAAGCAGCAGCTTTGGGTTTCAGTGTGGCCTGCCTGGCAGTCCTTTTCCTGGCAACTGGTTAATAGAAATGCTTTAAATATTCCCTTTCTGACTCACATGTGCAAGTCCAGCAGCCTGAATGCTCTGTCTTCAAGACAGATATAAAGAATGTCCTACAGCAAAGTTTCTGAATGCATTTTATAGTACTGGGTGACAGGGGTACAGACCAGGGCTTCATTGAAATACTGGCTATATGTATGCACACCCTATCAAGGACTTACAGCGACTCTAGGAAGGGGCTTTCAAGGTGAGCAAGAAGCAGAGGTGGTTTGCCATTGCCTTCCTCTGCAGAGTCTTCCTCAGTGATCTCCCATCCAAGTACCAAGTTAACCCTGCTTAGTTTCCAAGATCTGACAAGATCAGGCTATGCTATACCATTCCACATCCCAATCATGGCTATAGGGCTGCACAAATTGCATTTGGTGACCTTTTCAGTACCATGGGGGGAAGGGACAGAAAAACAACAGCCAATTTCAAGAAAAATAGAGCTGCTAGCCTGATTACATTTTAATTATGTCCTTCTGTCAAGAAGCTCAGGGCAGTGGTCCTCTCTCACCTCTGCCGTTGATCCTAACCAGGACCTTATGAGATGGTGAAAGGCCTAAGGTTACCCTGGTCTAACTGATCTGAATCAAGGTCACCCTGGTCTAACTCATCTGAACCAAGGCCGCACTGGTTTAACTCATCTGAACCAAGGTCTCCCCGGCCTAAACCTTCAGTCTGAAGTCTAAAACTTTATGTACTACTCTATGCTGCACTTCAGACTTGGATTCCTGCATTACCTCATCCAGAAAAGTATACCTCACACCCAGCCTTCATTAGAATAAAGTAACAGGGTGACCCCGCCACATACAAACACAGATTCAGGTGGGCAGCCATGTTAGTCTGAAGCAGCAGAACAAAGTTTGAATCCAGTGGCACCTTTAAGACGAACAAAGTTTCATTCAAGGTATAAGCTTTCGTGTGCATGCACACAAAAGCTTATACCTTGAATAAAACCTTGTTCATCTTAAAGGTGCCACTGGACTCAGACTTCGTTACACACACAAACAGTTGCATATCAGAATATTGCTCATTCAGTTGTACACACACCAAAACCAGGCATGTCAATGGTCACTTTAGACATTTATTTTTTGCCATCAAGTTGAAGCCGACTTACAGCAACCCTTTAAGGGTTTCAAGGCAAGAGAAGCTCAGAGGCAGTTTGCCATTGTCTGCTTCTTTATCATGACCCTGGACTTCCTTGGTGATCTCCCATCCAAATACTCAGCAGGGCTGACCCTGCTTAGCTTCCAAGATCTGATGAGATCAGGCTAGCCTAGGGTATCCAGGTCAGGAATAACAGACATTACAGATTTCCTATATGCAAGGTTTCGAATATGGAGTACCGTGTTCCAGTTGGTGGCATGACAATTTCCAGAGAACATTAACAAAAGGATTTGGAGGTAATCTATAAGGCATAACCTATATAATCTGTATTTTTTCCCCAAGAGGGTCAAATAAAATCAGAGAAACAGTGTAGAAGGAAACCAACCACAACTGCTGTTTTGAAGTAAGGAGAAAATTGTTATGAGGTTGGACTCTTCAGTCACACAGTTTGGGCCCTGAGGAAAGAATAAGAGTCAATTTACACTGAAGGTTAAAGAAGCAGGGGATTTTTGACCATTTTCAACCAATTAAATGGCACCAAAAGGAATGTTTCCCAGATCTAGTATGGAATAAACCAATAAATTACCTATGTTATTTTTAAAAAAGCAAACTTAGGCTATCGCTTCAGAAAGCCTTCCTGGCCATAACTCTAAGTTAGTTCAGCAACTGAATCCTTTTTTCCTGAGCCAGCAAGAAAGGTTTTAAAGAAAAAGTGAACACATTAAATACTGGATCAGTTCCCTCAAAGAAGGAAGATGGAGGAAATAATCCCATGTATCTTCCTGTGTGAAACTACAATTGTCCTGATCCTTGGACACTAGCTTAAAGCTGAACTAGATGTGATGCTGAGAATTCTATTAATAAAAAACCTTTAAAAAAAAAAAAAAAAAGGAGAATTCTATTGTCAGAGTTCCCAAGCAATTTTTCTATGTAATAGGAGCTATCCAGGGCCCCAATCTAATTTGAGATGGTGGCATAGAAAGAGAACCTCCTCATGCAGTTGTCTTGACCTCAAACAGTCTTGTGGAATTGCTGTTTGGCCCACTGGGGAAGGCATACAGGTTTTTGCATGGTCCAAATGTTTCCCCAATGTGAGAATGGAAGTTCCTTGAGATGTTTTCAGGTTGAGACGACAGGGGGAAATTAGCCCCTACCTCGAGGTGTCAGTCCGAGCCATGTCAGGGCCCTACACATCTCCTTTTTGCAAAGAAAACTATTGCAATGCACATATTTTATGGCTTCAGTATATGCAGATCTTGAAAATGCAGTGTTCCATTCATGCATACTGGAGGGGAAAAAATACTGTCCTAGTTAGACAGAATGGCAATCCTGTGTGTTGAGAAGATTGTATGTAGCATGATCTTTATCTTACATGCATTTGACCTGTCAAAATCAAAGCATCTGAAAAAGTCTCCTATAGCCACATGAATTTGTCTGAGCTGGCCCTTTGATTCCAAGGGCCGATTCACTCAACTCAAGTGGCACAATGGGAACAGAAGAACGGCACAGCTATTTTGAGCTCATAGTGAAGAGATTGCATGATTGCTTCAACACACAATCGACTTGCAACGAAATGTTCATGTACTATGCCACTGCAAAGCTGCCAAAACTCGGCAGAACTGAGAGTCCTTTCACTCAGGTTAAGCTGCCAGCTGGGTTTGTAGTAAGAGGATCAGAAAATCCTTCCTGGATCTCTTCAGACAACATAAACTTATACAATGAGCACACTGGGAGGGATGTGTGTGTGAAGGAAGAGGGACTGCAGTGTCAGGTTCCACCTCCTTCACCATGCATGTTTGTTGCTTTTTTCAGGCTTCCTGATCACACATAAAAACCCTATGCACATATCATTTCTGTAAGAACACAAGAAGAGTCCTGCTGGATCACAGCAGTGGTCCATCAAGTCCAGCATCCCATTTCACATGGTGGCCAACCAGTTTGTTTATTTATTTAAGTTACTTCTACCATGCCTCTCCATAGAGAAATAAAATGAAACAACAACATAAAACACCATAAAAGTTATAACAATTAATGCACTATAAGCTTCAAGAGGTGATTGAATAAACATACGTAGCAGAGGTCCATCGGGCTATTAGCCACAGGTATAGATGGAACACTATGTCTGGGGCAGGGATGCTCTGTATTCTTGGAGCTTGGGGGGCAACAGAGGGCTTCTGGAGTTCTGGCCCTGCTGGTGGACCCCCTGATGGGCACCTGGGTTTTGGCCACTGTGTGACACAGAGTGGGTGGGCCATTGGCCTGATCAAAAATGGCTTCTCTTATGTTTGTATGTTCACTATTAAAACATTTAATGTCTTAACATGAGTCCCATGAAGTAGTTCTTAGGCAAGAAGCAAACCACAGAAATTAATTTAACAGATCAACCCTTTGATTAAAAGCCTGGGTACAAGTAAATGGTTTGATTGGGCATCTAGAAAAGATAGTTGAGTAGATGCCAGGAAAGACTCAGAGTAAAAGGCATTCCACACGCAAGACATCACCACTGAAAAAGCCCAGTCTTTGCTTGCCACCTTCAAGTACCCAGACTCCAAGCCATTATGGACATTAAAAGATACGAACCAACACTTTGAATTGTGCCCAGAAACAGACCGGCAGCCAGTGCAGATCTTTCAGCAGTAGTGTGATATTGTCCTTGTATACCACCTTGGCCTGCCTACTGCAGTTTGGACCAGCTGAAGTTTGCAGCCCTGGAGGGTCGAGGACACACAGAGGCCAGGGCCTTTCCCTGATATTGCCTCTTAGCCCCAGTATTCAGAGCTTTGCTGCCTTTGGACATAAAGATTCTACTGATGAATCTATCCTCCATGAATCTGTCTGGTGGAGAGAAGTGCCATCAAGTCGTAGCCAACGTATGGTGACCTCATAAGGTTTTTAAGGCAAGAGATGTTCAGAGGTGGTTTGCCATTGCCTGCCTCTATTTGGCAATCCTGGACTTCCTTGGTGGTCTCCCATATAAGTACTAACCAGGGCTGACCCTGCTTAGCTTCCAAGATCTGATGAGACTGAGTCTATTTGCCTTTTAAAGCCATCTATGCATGTGGTTATCACTACATCCAATAAATCCCACTCTCTGTGCAGGAACCGCACGTGAAGTCTAAATGCATGCAGTCTAATGAACTTATATGGGATGAGAGTTGCAGCGAGAGCCAGTTTGGTGTAGTGGTTAAGTGTGTGGACTCTAATCTGGGAGAACCGGGTTTGATTCCCCACTCTGTGACAGATGCGTTTCCCATCTCTCCTGCTTCATGTGAGATGGCGGCATACCATGTGGAGCGCTTTTCCGCTTAGTAAACGGAACCAAGATAGGACTTTGTCAAAAGGAAACGGTGTCCGGCAGCTGTGCTGAGTTCACAGCTTGAGATATTGTGTAAACAAAAAAAGAAAGAGAACAAGCCAGTGTGGCAGCACCCTGTGGACAACGGCTTTGCTTCTCTGCTTCGGAGAGCGCTGCAGCGTGCAGCAACTAATAGCCTAGCCAAGGCTCTGCACAAAACGCTTCCCACTGGGCTGGTGATTATTTTTCCATCTCCCCCTTGCTTAACACCCCATTCCCAGCCAGGCAGACCACTGCAAATGACTGAAACATTAACCTGTCTTTGCTTCTAACACAGTGACAAATTGTTTCCCACGTGGAAATCCTGGGTTAGTCCCCCCCCCTTGC